GCCTTTGGTTCACCGAGGAATTTCGTCAGGAACAATAGCGATAGCAAATATTTAATTCTGTCCATACAAGTATTTTAATATATTCGATGCATTAAGATTCGTTCGTCTTAAACATTTTTATCTCATAGGATCTTGAATAAGCAAATTAAAATAGTAAAAATGTAAAATTAACACCTCTTTGTCCAGACATGTAATTTTACTTCCAACAATCCCCTTCCTTCGTTTTATAATATAATTCGATACATTTTAAAATGTATCAAACTTCCATTACTCGAATTGACTAGCACGAGGTAGAGCTATTCGAAGTAATTTGCATAAAATTTCGATAGACCGAAGTACACTAATACCCCAGTCTTCCTCGCTCTGATAGTCCTAATTAGAAAAATCCTATGAATAAAAAATTAACTGAAAACGATCCTCTGTTCCCTGTTATCTCTGTAATATCGAATTTTATCCCGTGAACATTATCCCCGCTTATTATCGGTTCGATAATGTAATCGAATCGATGGAAAAATTCGATAAAATAATCGAATCGTCCGTACTGCGATAGCTTTATACTTTCACGGCCTCGTTCGCGAATATGTCACCACGGTGCTATACTATCAAAGTTACGAATCAATGGGAAATTTTACTACATCGCAAGCGTCAGACGTTGGCTGACTATAGATACCGGTCGTATCGAAAGGTTTAATAAAATTCCGACGTTTCCAACGAGCAAGGAAGATCACCAGTTGCAGCTGTATCTCGCATACGGATCGATGTCCGAAATCACTTGGTAAATACGCGGTACGCATCAATATTTCGCACAATCTTCGAAATTCACGTGAAACGCGTATTGACGCAACATCTGAACGTCAGCGAACAATGAGAACTCAAGCTATGCATTAAAACAAAACGAAACCATTTCCATCAACATTTTTCATCGGCAGAGAAAAGGAAAAAATAGAACAAATTTCATCGGAACAATGAAAGGAAGATTCTCTATTCGAGGTGCATTCAGAAACATACCGCGTTAGGTCAGTTAGAAAGTCCTGTTTTACTTTTTATTTTTCGTACCCTGCTGCCTGTTATCCGAAAAGAAAATTAATCCTTGAAAAAAACAGGCTATCTCAAAGACTCGATGGATCTAATAGACCGTGTTACAGGTTACCAACAAATTTTTCGTTCCTTAATTTTCGGGTTGGTACTAGAATTATGCCAAAATGGTTTGTATAGATTTAATTAACGATACTAACAGGCCAATATTTTTAACGAGCCATTACGTTACTTCATCAGAATCCATATTTACTTTCGAAGCATGGAAGAAAATTTTTTCCCAAAACATTGCCAATCTCAACGAGGAAAATAGCAAGGAGATCTTCGCGAAGATACTGAAAAATTTCAGGTCAAACAATCCCCGGTGAGTGGAAAAATTGACGGAATGACTCGTGGAGCAGCAGGGATCATCTTCTTTCAGCTGATCGATGCTCGATTTCCCCCGTAACGGCGTCCATCGTGCATCGTCCCTGTTGTCGAAGAGCAGATCATCAGACTCACGTAGAAGCACTCGTACGAATCGTAGAACCAAGTAGAAAGGAACAAAAGGGAGTTTGAGCAGCGTAGCGTTAAGGAGTATCGGCAAGTGTTAAGCACGCTACTCGGAAGCTGTTAACCACAAAGCGGTTGTGGAACCGTTGATTCTTTCGAGGCTGACTCCGAGTGCATCGGTAATGGGAACAATGGAATCAGGCATGCTGGTTTGCGGCTAACGAATGGTGAAATATAACGAAACATCAGGCAGGGTCCGAGGTTCGCCAGTTGATCCTCGCAACTGGCATTAAACGAAGACTTTTGACCAAGTTCCGCGAAAACGAAGAATTTTTTTCGCAGTATTTTACGATTCTCAACTTTGGTAAAAGATACGTAGACGGAAAAACATTCACGCAATAACAATCACCCATAAAAATACCTGATACGAATAGCGTAAAAATCTTCAAAAGGGTTAAAAGGAAATAAGTTATAATTAAAAAAAAAAAAGAAAAAAGAAATGGAATTTCTTTGCTTTCGAATATGCAAATTCGCGAGCTATAAGGTAGACAGGGTTTAATTAAGACACGCCAGATTCCGTGTCGAATGACAGAAGCAAGTACGAGAGTGCAAAATGAAGAAATCGTAAAAACGAGAGTGGACTGGGAATGCAAGTAAAAATAACGAAGATATCGCGGCCCTAGGGGTGAAAATAAGAATAGTCGGACGCGGAGACGGGATCGTTAGGAATATTATTAAAACGCCATGGGGATTACTCGAAGGAACGACCGTGATATAAATATTGTAATATTTGAAGATTTAAAGAATATTAATTGGAAGAATTTTAGTCGGTTTCGGTATTAAGAAGATTCGAACAATACTGGGCAACTTGGAGGGAATAAAATATTCCGGTCGGGAGGGGAATGTCACGAAACTAAATTGGAGCGCTGTAAAGCTTGAAAAATTAATAACAAAAATGCCGCAATTTGCCGCACAGATGCGGCAGTCCCTTACAACGCGAACTTTCGGAAGCGTGTCCTTCAAAGAAAGTCAATTCCTCGTTTAACCAAAGATTAAAGCTTCTCAATTTCTTCTCGATTCGAAGTCAAAGGCAAATTAAAAATTGTTACAAGGATTCGACAAGCCGATACAAAGAGTACCCGGATTCGCGCCGGAGCAATATTACCCTTATAAAAGAAACATTCGATGGGATAATGAGCTTTATTAAACGCGAGAATCGATAATTTTCAAAATCGAAGAATTCGCGCGATGGTAATTAAACTGGCATAAAATATCCTCGCGAAATTCCGAGCGTAAACAAGACGAGCGGAGATTTTCAGTGGAAAATTCCAAATAAACGAAAGGACGATTGTTGGAAGATAGAAAGATCGGAAATTTAACCGCGATCGAAAACGAAGGCCATTATCAATCTTTGAACACGCCACGACCTAATTTTCATTGAACCAAAGCGCAAACCGAACCGCTTCGTCCAGTAGGCGAAATGTATTTTTCAAACCCTGCTGTATTGCTTGCAGTTGGCCTGTACGCAATTTAAAAAACAAACTCTCCTAAACCCACTGCGGGGAAAGTGGCAATTGCGAAAATTCAATCGGATCGATCGATCAACAACGATTTCGGAGAACGATTCTGACGCGAGAGACACGCGCGAGGCGAAGAGGAAAGAGGGTAGCAGCAGAAGTATGAGCAGAAGTATGAGCGGAAGCAGTGCCGGTAAGAGAGAGGGCGAAAGAGCGATGAGTCACGGGGATCAAGATCAATGACGGACGCGGGTGCTGGTTCGAATCATCGTTGGATCTCGTGGCTGCTCTTTCCTCGCACGAGAGCGGCGAGAGGGTGGTTGGCATAGGAAGAAAGGAGCCGAAACGCAGGCTCGGAAGGGCAGATAGGCACAAAGGAGAATCGGAGCATCGGGGCGTTAAGGGGACTCGGAGAGAAGACGGTATCCTCCCGCATACGGTTCTCTGTTGACTGAAGCGACTTAAGTCAACGCCGCGCTCACCTACGGTCTGGCACACTAGCTACCTTCTCCTCTAGGTACGCCGTGGTAGGGAAGGAGGAGAGAGGAGATAGAGTGTGCGAGAGCCGCAGCAGGTAGAGGGGAAAGCCGAAGGTTGGAGAAGGAGAAAGAGGAGGAAAGAGGAAGAAAGAGGAGGACGGTGATCGCGGGGTTGGAAGCGGAGCGAGCGAGAGGAAGGAGCGAGAGGAGCGCGAAGGGTTGAAGTATAAGGATACCGAGGCATGCGCCGTCCTATCATATTGATCTCGCCATAGTAACGATTCTCTCTTCTCCGGCGATGTTGGCATGCACTATAGCAGCGGGACGAAGAGGGAAAGCCGACGAGAGAACGGCGGAAGGGGGTTGTACCGCATGGTATACCATGCCACCCCACGATGCGCGGATGTGGGCCGCTCGGGGGTGAACGAGAAGGACGGCGAGGGAAAGGGAAAGGGAGAGAGAGGGTGGGATTGATGGGAGAAGGAGGGTAGACCGGAGCGAGAGGAGCGGTGGTGGTGGAAGAGAGAGGGTGGACATCGGTGGCGGTAGGCCACACAGGGCGCTAGCGCCAAAGAGAGCCGAGGCGGCGATACCGCGCGGCGTTGCAGCCAAATGAGAATCAGTCCAGCGTTGGTCGCCGACGAGGGCGCATCTGACAAGCCTGTGACCAAGATACGGGACACTCGAGGACATTGGGGAAACGGTGCAACATCCGCGATAAGCATCGATCTCGAAGAGATGAGAGGGATGTTAACCGAGATGGTAGTAGCGTCACGGTGCTGACAGTCAGACGCGCTCTGAGAATCGGCGGGGATCGGACGGCGCGGAAAAGCTCGGGGATCGGAAGTCGGTCGAATGAGCTGGTGGTGACCGACAGACGACGGACGCGTCTGTGAGCCGTGCGAGTAATTTCGCGTGCTCGCGACTCGCGACACTGTGCGGTCTCTTCTATTGCTTCTGGACCAGCGGAATTCGACTACGATCGGGGAAGTAGAAGGAAGACGGCGTGGAGAGAGTCGGTGGAGGCTGCGGTGGAGCAAAAGAGAACGAGTACAACGAGTAGGTAAGAGAGAAGAAGAGATGTCCTCGATGCCCAACGATGCCGCACGAAGGCACAACCGAGCCGAAGCTTAGTGCGTGCGAGGTGTACCCGCAGGGACACGCTGCAGGTCCACGGAGGCTGTCACGTGCCCCTGATAGAGCGAAAACGATGCCATTGCCGTGCTCCAGGCACGTACGTTCGGGTGGACCCTGAGAGAAGACCGAAGGCCTCACGGACAAAAGTTTCCGAGAAAACGCGAGAAATCTCAGTGCCTACGGGATCCAGCTGGTTGGTTCCTGTTCGACGCGTTTGCAGCCACGTGCGAGGACAACCGAATAGTGAGGAGGTGGAGGAGGCGGAGAAGAAGCCGGTGGTGGCGGAGGCGGTGGTGATCGAGGAAGGAGCGAGCTGCTCCGGTTCCTCAATCGTGCAAACATGAGACGTTGGACTCTCTTGGCGGCTATAGCCCTGGCTGCATCGGGTGAGTTGCGACGCTAGGCAATCCCATCTATTTCTCTTCTAGATAATGCGTCGCGATACGGCGAAAATATTTTTCATCGCGATGCTAGGCTCTCGTCCTAGAGACGTTCGCTTTTCTCGCGACGCGAACGGGTCAACCGGGTCTCTACCTTTTCCAAACCGATTCTCATCGTTTTCTTTCCGTTTCTTTCTCTTCTCTGTCGTTCTTTTCTTCTCGTCGCCGGTTTACATCCCCTATCTCTCTTTCTGTTTCTCTCTTTCTCTCTTTCTCTCTCTGTCTTTGCATTCGATTCTACTTGCCCGTTTTGTTTCCTCCCTTTGTCTCCGGAGTGCGATACGTTCGCCAAATGCACCAGACGACGAGTCTCTCAATAAGTCGCACCGCGGGGATTTCCACACCGCGATGGTTCTCTTCGATATCGGGGGCAAACTTTTTAACTCTTTAAGCCGCGACAATATCCGCACGCGACCGTGCCACCATGAATCTTCGTCCTCGAATAATGACGTCTGTCGTGGTAATTTTTACACGTCCGATCGGCCACGGACCGCGCGCGACCCGTTATGTCAAGCAATTTCCAACGACAACCGGGAGAATGAAATGGGTGGCTGATTTATAACACGCTTTCTAATCTACGCGTGCCACTGAGAATATTTACGACCAGCAATCTCTACGTCGATTACGAAGACGTGCCATATTTCACCGGCCGATCTCCATATCGAGAAAGAGTCGCGACTCTTTCATACCTACGCGTATAATCTCGCTATTCCTCTGTCATTCGCATCGCAACGAATGACCTACGCCACTCCTCGATCATCGAGGTCCAGCATCGTAATCAAACGTCCCATGTTCCAGCGAATCTCTTTGAGCATTAGCGCGAGCAAAAGTTCAACGTTCGACCCGTTTCGAGTTCGTTATCGCGGCAAGTGCTCGAAACGCGCAGCGATTTTCAAATGATCCCGGGGAAGGTGTTGCTTTGCCACGTAACGTGTTCGCACCCTGTCGTCATTCACGACGTTTTCTACGTGACGTGCGCGCAGCCACACTCTCGTTAGCACGCTGATTCGCAGACCGAACGTACACACTCGGCGCAAAATCACTGCAGCCCAAATATTTACCCACTTCACCTGACAGGTATTTTTGCTCAGCGTTCCCGCCACTGGCAATGTCCTTTCTTCTCTCGCCACATGGCAAAAAGAAGAAGAAAAAGAAGAAGATTGTCAGGGAACAATCGGCTTCCGATGTGGTAGATTTTAATTGATGCCGGACTCGTTTCCTTATTCCGTTTCGCAAGATGTTTGATTAATTGGGACCACGACGAACTATCGTCTCCTCTCTATCAGCCTGCTCTCTTT